CATAGTCATTACTACTCGACAAACTAACAGGATAGATCCATGCTTCGATTGTGAAACTACGTGAATTGAATGGAAGTACTTTCGGTGTGATATAAACATATTGAGTAGAGGATCGAGTAAAAGAGATAGCTGCACCATAGCCAGCAAAACTAGTTGTATAAATTGGACTACCGGAGAGAGTAGCATCAAGACCACTATTATATAGCTCAAGTGCATTGTTATCAAACGACCAGAAGGCGCTAGCTACGCTTTGGGCAGTTGTAGTAGTCGTAGCTAAACGATACATGATCAACAAATTAAGAATTACTTCGAACAAAGCACAAAACTCTCGAAAAAGTCACTTGAATTCAAGAAGGTTTATGTTAATTGTAAGTGATATCACTGAAAGACACTTACTAAAAGAATTTTTCGATCTGAGAAGAAATCTTTCGATGTTTGAAGCTATTTTCTGGAACGATATGGGCCGTAGACACTAGATTCAAAGATTGGAATAACTCATGCTTTTGTGTCTCATTCTTTGTAATATACTGTAGTCACGATGCATGAATAATTATTATAGTAGCTTTTGATTAATGCTAGTTATTTGTGTAGAAGAGCTAATCAATTATTTCTTATTGTACATTTCGCATGAAAATAGATAGCATGCCCAACAGCATATATTGGGCATTCCATCTAAAAAAAATGCATTGCTTTCAAAATTGCTACTCTCAAAAAGCAATGATTTCACAAAAAAATATGAGAAACTGCAGGTTTATATTGGGTGCAAGCGAGAGTCTTTCCTTCGTCCACGCACACTTCATGTTAACAATTCTCTATAAGTTGTTCGGATTTTGATGTGCAGCGAAGCTGTTGAATATGACTGAGATTCAGAGATTCGTAGAACTCGTCAACAAATATAAAGAACAATGAACAATATAGTTTTTCAACAAAAATTGGACTGTTTTATGGGATACGATCAAAGATGTATCCCTTCCAATTAATGTTCTGTCACACTTTAAACTCAAAAGTGTACTCACTTGTTGTTGTTGATGTTGTTTTTGTTGTTGATGTTGTTGTGGTTGTTGTTGTTGTGGTGGTGGTTTTTGTTGTCGTTGTTGTTGTCGTCGTCGTTGTTGTTGTTGTTGTCGTGGTTTTTGTTGTCGTTGTTGTTGTGGTTGTTGTTGTCGTTGTTGTTGTGGTGGTGGTGGTTTTTGTTGTTGTTGTTGTTGTCGTTGTTGTTGTTGTTGTGGTTGCTGTTGTTGTTGTTGCTGTTGTTGCTGTTGTTGTTGTTGCTGTTGTTGCTGTTGTTGCTGTTGCTATTTTTCAAATGAAAATTGAAAGCTATATGAAGTCATACGCAAGGACTTTCAATCTCAAGGAGTCTATCAGATTAGCCTTATCTTCAGTATTGTATACTTGTAATCTAATGATAACCCCAAATTTTAATACTGAATAATAGTTAATCGCTGCGTCAAGGGATAAATGGGCTACATTGAAGACATCCAGAATCGTTTTTGGTATTTGTATTAATAAAAGAAAGGTCATGTCGCATATCGGGATTTTGTACACTCCCTTATCGTCAGTACATAATTCACATCCTTTTTTAAAACCAATATAAGTGGAAATGATTCTCGAGATGCTGCTCAATGTTCATGAGTATTGTCTCACTTTTATTTAATCTGAGTAGCGCCGCCAAGATCTGCTCTGTTGTTTCAGGTGTCAAGTAACTCATCGATTCTTGATACATTCAATGAAATGGTTCACAGAAATTGCTCTTTCATTCATATTTTTTTTTGCCCTATATTTGAACACAATATAAGACTGACTATGTCCAGCGCCACAAAACAAATATGAAAACTAGTTGTGAAAGATTCAAAACTGTTTTCTAATATTATCGTATTTGTTACTATTTTTTTTGGTCAACTAGATTTAGTCTGTCTATGTTTACAGAAGATTACTAGGTTTATTTCTATTTGGGTTCAAGTAAATGCAATTTTAGTATCCAAGTTCTACTACAAAGGACGGGGGCGCATAAGAACAGGAATCGGCCCACGAACAAATTCTCATAAGAAGTTTATTTTCCGATGCAGAATTTTATGGCGAATCTTTTGATGCCAAATTCAATATATTTTCGAA